TTCTCCCAAGCTCCGCCCCTGCCCCACCCTTTCCTTTCTCCCAAGCTCTGCCCCTGCCCCGCCCCTTCCTGCTTCTGCCCTTCCCCTTGCCCCCTGTGCTGCACCACATGAGCCAGGGGATTACTGGGGGCCAAGGTGGCAGTGAGGGCCACCTCCCCTGTCCTCTCTATGGCGATGGGAGCCGGAGTGACCCGGCAGCCTGCCCCACTGCCCCCTCTCCTGGCCCACTGCACCCCACTTCTCTGCCTTGTGCTGGGGCCACTGTGACTCCCACTTCCAGGGAGAGTGCGGGTTGGGGTGACCTCTGCTGCTGCCCAGCACAAGGCCTGTCCACAGGCTGGGGGAGGCTGCCACCGTGGGGGCCCCCCAAAGTGCAGGGCCTGGGGCAGCCGCCCCGAACCATCCTGTGGACTCTCCACTGAGCAGCCAGGGCAAGATATCTGTGCCCTCTGAAATTATTGACGCCTGCTCCAAGTGGCTGTAAAATGAGATGGAGACGGACAGGCTGTATGCGGGACATGGGACAAGGCCAGGGGACAATTAACGTCTAAGTGGAAAATAAATCTCAGGTATTTATGATCCTCCTTAAAGGAGCCGAGTGTAGAGAATGACAATGTCACATTGGCTCTGAGCACAAATGCAGGCGGATTGCTCAACAAGAATGAGAAGTGGGTTTTGTTCTGCCCTGATTCTGTTTGTTCTGGCAAATCTAACTGCAATCCGCAAAGAGATGATTTGGTTAAGTCCTCCCAATACCTTGACTCTAAAAGACCCACTCACGTGTCAGTATTATCAAGTCTGGAGGTCTGGTTCTGTGTGCCTTCTCATTTTTCCATCTGGGTGCAGAATAAATTTTGTTCTGTGCACCAATATATGGGCAGATGTGCACCACCCTTAGACACACGGGCTGCCAGCGGGGGGCGCTCTGCTAATCAGCTGAGCGGCATTTGAATGTGTCTTGGGCAGCCGCCCAAGCACTCAACTTACAGGGAACACTACTCTGGTTCCCTGTTAGCTTACATGGATACAGCTCCATTCCCTGGCCATTTTCTAGCTAATAGATATTCAGTAAGAGCCTTTCCAGGCCAGATGCAAATGTCAGCTAAAAGGGGCTGATAGATTCTCCCCGCCCGGCTCTATTTGTGAGTGGATAAAGCCACAGAGCCCTACCAAATTCACAGTCCATTTGGGTCACTGTCGTGGTCACGGGAGTTTTTAAATGGCATATTTCATGACTTCAGATAGTTACATCTGAAATCACATGGGGGCATCATTGGAGGGCTCCTGACCCAAAAAGGAGCCATGGGGTGTGAGATTACTGTGGGGGGGTTGCACACAGCTGCCCTTACCTTCTGCCCAGCTGCTGGTAGCAGCATTGCCTTCCAAGCTGGGCAGCTGGGGAGCAGCGGCTGCTGGCCGGGAACCCTGCTCTGAAGGCAGGGAGCTCACCGCCAGCAGCAGTGCAGAAGGAAGGACAGCCTGAGATGTTGCTGACCCTCCCCCCCCTTACTTCTGTGCTGCTGCCAGCAGAGTTGGGCCCACTCAGCACCCTCGGCTGTCTGGGCCCCCAGCTCTGAAGGCAGCAGGACAGAAGTCAGAGCGAATGGGTATGGAATTGCCACCCTGACTTCGGCACTGCTGCTGGCGGAGCGCAGCCTTCAGAGCTGGGTACCCGGCCCACATTACAAGCCTCGCTCTCCAGTTACCCAGCACTGAAGTAAAGGGGCAATCCCACGGCCCTCCTACAAGAACCTTCTGCAACTCCCCTTTGGGTCAGGACCCCCACTTGAGCCATGCGGCTCCCCCAGGAAATCTGTAGTGTCCAGCAGCACTCAAAGAGGCAAATTCCCCGAGAGGACACCGGATTTCACACCCCAAGATGCGTTTTGCAAGGCTGTGAATCCGGCAGGGCCCTCCTGCTAAGGAAATGCATGTGTGTCCCTCCCCGCGGCACCAGCCAGGCAAAAGAGCTGCGAAGTCGTCTCTCTCACCTTGTCAATGAAGGAGGCGAATTTATTGTTGAGGGTTTTGATCTGCTCCTTCTCCTCTTGCTTCACTCTCTGGATGCTGGGGTCGAGCTCCACGTTGAGAGGTTTCAGGAGGCTCTGGTTGATGGTTACTTCTTGGATCCCGCCAGGGGGGCACACTGGGAACCCAGGGCCACCTCCTCCTCCACCAAACCCGGCTCCAGCGAACCCATAGCCGCCAGCAGCTCCGGCCCCACAACCGAACCCGTAGCCGGCACCTCCCGCGCACGC